GTGGATGAAGATGAGATATCTCATATTGAACAAATTACAAAAAACCAGGCAGAATGTGATGAATGGAAAAGACAAAGAAAAGTGTGACACCTTTAGATGCCTGTTCGGATCCGAAATTTTTCATGGAGAAAAATGGTGAGAAAATTTGCAAACTTAAAACAAATCATGCGTACTATGCACAGGTACAAGGGCAGATGGGAATAACTGGAGCCCAATGGTGTGACTTTATTGTCTACACGAAGAAGGGTATTTACATTCAGAGAGTGCCTTTTGATGTAGGATTCTGGGAAAAACTTAGAGATGAACTGACTGCATACTATTTTCAACATTTCATCAAGTATGCAGCTGAAGATTTTAACTCCAGGACAACTATTGAAGCTGACAAACAAGACTAGTTATGTGGGTTTTATAGTATATGATGTCTTTTTATTATTAAATTCCAACATTCTTATAAATGTCTTTACTAATAAATAGTTCAAAATAGYTTTTTTAATGTAAATATAAACTTGAACAAGATTATAGATATCTAATAGACAGCCTTGCAGCCCATCAGAATGCAGCTGAATTTGGGAGGGCAAAACAATAGGTTCCAATTCGCAGGAGATTGAAACCCTTTTGTTTTGCCCTCCAAATTGATCAACAAATAAATAATTTTCACTTTAAGTATTTACTAGGATCATAGAAAGTATGCATTGTGGTGACATAATTCATGATCATAATTCAGATTTGTAACTAAACTATATGATGATAATCTTAAAATTTTAATTGGATTGATTGAATAGAGTAATGGTACTGAACTCACTGTGAAACAAAATCTAATACTCAATGTAGAGCTGTATAAGACAAATGACAGATGTGTTGACCATCACAGTGAATGAGCGATCTAAGCGAACGCTGTTAAGAAAGACGTGAAAAATGATTTCAAGCTTCAACGGGAATCGAACCCATGACCTCCGTGATGTTATAAATAACCATGCTTCGGGAGTAAATCGAAGCATTTTAGTGTTGAACGCTCTGCAAGGCTAAAATTATTTTCTAAACCAAATCAAATATGTCATCCTAATCACGTGTTATGACGTCCGATCTCATAAAAAACTGCATCAAACATTAATTCAATCTTTATGTGACTTATGTGCAAAAAAGATTTGCAATCGGATAAAAGACGTTTATGCACTAGCGTTCCAAAAGTGGAAGGTAGCGGTCAAGCGTGAGGGGATCGAGCCACCTTAAGCGATGAAACGTAAGTAAGGCTAGTAGCTAAATCCAAACAAGACAGACGAGTATCTGGAGGTCTATAAGTTGTACATACTGCAATAGATTTTAATTTCCTGACTTGAACTTTTAGCCAGAGTTGGTGAAACCCCGATGGGGCAACGTGGGAGATATCTCGAAGTACCTAAGTGTYGTAATTTCTYGAAACATATGCACAGATCCCTCCACCTTTCTTGTTTTGTTGATCAACACGAAAAAAATTATAATCAGGAACTTCAATCTCCAGGTCATTTACGGAGCTATCAAGCCAGAATTCGGAAACAGTAAATACATCAAACTTGTTATCAAGGATTGTTTCTTTCATAATGACAAAATAATCTCTGCATTTCAAACATCAATCATATTCCCAGGAAAGGATAACATATCTGCTGATGCAGAATCAAGAAAAACACGAAGGGAAACTGAATGGAGTTTAAACCCCAGAATCACCACCAAGGTTTTTGATAAAATAGGCATTACCCCAGATATTGATTTATTTGCATCCAGAATAAATTCTAAATGCAACAAATATGTTTCCTACCACCCAGATCCAGGGGCATGGGCAGTGAATGCATTTCATATATCATGGGAAAAGCTATGTTTTTATGCCTTCCCCCCTTTCTGCATAATCCAAAAAG